TTGGCCATAAATTCAGTAACGTTTGACACTCATAGACAGTAGTCAGTACTTGCTGCCAATCATAACTATGTAAAACTTTTAATAATTTAAAGGTTTAATTTTGCTGCATTTTTTGTTACTTGTGTGTTTCTGTACATTTTTGTTCATTGTAGCTACTTTTGCTGCTTTTTCATTTTTCTCTGCTACATCTTTTCATTACTTTAGGCTGTTATTTAAACTGAATTTTGTCCATAAATAATAAAACAGAACTTTCATCTTACAGAGGTGCTGCTGCCAAGATAGAATCTAGTGTAAGCTGAATCAAAACAAAATTGAGAAACAAATTCTTCTCAATGTTGCATAGAAACTGTTGGATAGAGATTCTGCTGAATTAAAATAAATAAATAAATAAATAAAAAATAAAGAAATCCGGGTGAAGCAAAGGAAACAAAGCCACATACATGAGGGAGCTTGCATAAACTGGTTTTATAATCCTCTTAAATAGTACAATATAGCTCTCTCAGAGGGTAAAGTACAAGCCCTATTGTAAGGGCACTGCAAGGAGGTTTGACTTTGGGACTATCAATGTGATTTTATGTTAATGGAATTGGAAGCCAAAGTCAATAGCTAGGAATTGCAATTATTTTTCTGAAACAATCTGAGCTGGTTAAACAGAGTCAGTGACGTCAGAGAGATAATGTTTAAGTCCTAAGACTAGAATACAATAATTCTTGTGTACCTAAAGCATTACTCAGTGAAGAATAAGAATGATAAATATTTACCATTTGTTTAATATGATAAGGACATAAACAAATAACTATTTAAAATGACCTATGTATAACTTGTTATTTAGGAAAATGAAAAGGGGAAACTAATAAGCAAAATATTAGAAGAGTAAACACATACATACAGAGCTCTTTTTCAAAACGAGAACACTCATAAATGTCATCTCCCATTTTGTTAGGTGTCTAACTGACACTTGTTAAATATCCCCACAGTGTTGCAATCTTGCTGAATTTGATAATGAGTCTGTGAAATTATTTGGAGCTCTAGTTAACAAACAAGTCTTATTGTTGTAAATGACTTTGTGACTTTCTTAGATGGCTTTGAAAATAGTTGCAAAACACAGTATTTTGATATATTATTGCTTCTCACATTCACTCTTAAGAGGGAATTTTTGCAGCTGTGACTGATTTCAGCAGCTTCAATTCACTCACGGTTTTCAGCTGAATATTTGACTTTTTAGTATGTCCTGGGATTATATGGTATAGTAAACAGAGGAAGACTGTGAACATGTTGCAGTTCTACTGACATCTTCCTCTATTCTAACCTTAGTTTTGTTTTGCAAGTGAAATATATCTGTGTGTGTGTGTGTGTGTGCGCGCACATCTGTTTTTAAACAAGAGATGTGTCATTTACATTAGTTTCTTTTCCTGTTATGTCAAAACTCTTTCTTGGGCATTTTTTTCCTAAACCTTGATTTGAAAAGAGTGAAAGCAGCATATTTTCAGTATTAGATTTCTCTGAGGACAAAATCATTTCTGACAACATGTTTCTTAATCCATGTTAGTCTTCTACTTAGACATATAAACAACTGTTTAACTGTTTCCCAAGTCCAAATTCCATAATTGTGAACATCCAAGACACAATAAATCTGAAGGGTTGCATAACTTGTGGTAGCTGAAGAATTATTTTTTTCAGTGACCATGCTTCAACACAATTTCGTAAAGTTACCCAAGCACCACTCCTATGTCAAAAGGAGGAATGCTTCAATCTTTTTTTTTTTTTTTTCATGCAAAATGTCTTCATAATGGATTTTCACATTGTTGGAGGCATTTTCACACAGTTTTGGAGATTATGGATGGATAATTTTTGCTGTTTTAAGCTTTCTGCTAAATATATGTCAATTTGTTGAGGTTTTGCACTTCACTTATTCTAGCACTTTTAAACGAATCCTAGAAGTTCTTTTGTAAATTTAGCTGCTTTGAATAACCCAAATAATCATTTTTGCATCACATTTCCTACAAAATCAATAATATTTATGGATTCCCTGCAAATCATTCATCAAAACAATTACATTTTTATATGGTACATGAAAAATACGCATAGAATTGCTCCTATTTAATTATGATGGACTATTCTATAAAAGTATAATAAATTAAAGGTTTCCGTTTTATTTAGTTATGGCATTAATATATTTGACCTTACTAAAACCTGTCACTATTAGAGATATTTTTGGGATCATAATAGTCTATATTCTAGTATTTTAGATAATTTAGGGACAGATTTTTCATTTTCTTTAATAGCTGTGTAAAAGCATCTAACATCTTTACTGTGTAGGGTTAATATTTTTAGCAAGTTGTCTTATTAAAGAATATAACTGTTCTATTTGCTTGATATGGGTGGATTTTTGTTTGCAGCAGTTATTAACTCAGAAAACTCATTCCTAGTTTTGAAAATCTCTATGGAGCAACTTTACTTCAAAATAAAACTCTCAGAAAGGTTCATTAATAAAGCCGATAGCAATTCAAAACAGAAGAGTAATGTGTAAAATTTGTCTCCACAAGCAAGGATTTTTTTTTAGTGAGTTTGTATTTATTAACCTTGCACTTTGGACAGTCTTCTGTCTGTTTTCAGGAACAAGAAAAAAAAAAGGAAAAATAGGTTGACTGGTAACTTTTCATATGCTTCTGAATACAACCTAACCATATCTGAACGTGAGAGGTAGAGCATACTGTACTCTTGTTTTCATTATTATTTGTGGATGAAATAGGTGAACAGAGCAGATGTTCTAGAAAGCTTTCCAGATTGGACACCTATTGTCTGAATGCTAAGGGTCTACATTTGATTGCTCAAGGTTGCTTAGTCTGGATCTGGGCTTTTTCAGCCAGAAGGCTTGATGGGACCTAGTTTACTGCCTTTCACCATCTAGTAAACAAATAGAGGAGATGGAATGTGACTGTTCTCAGAGGTGAATTGTGGAAGGATATAATACAGTGGTCACATATGGCTGCAAGGAAAACACAAAGTTAACAAAAACTATAATGGGGTCATTAAGCACTGGAACAGACTGTTTGGAGATGCAGGGAAATATCAGTGCTCAGTGATATTCAAAACATAAATGGACATAGTACTGAGCAAAATAAACTAATTGTAAGTTGATCTTACTTTAAGCAGGAAAATGGGTGGTATGACTTCCATTAATCCCTTCCAAATTCAATTATTATTTAAGTCTATATACAGAAATAAGTAATGATATATGCAGGCTCTGTTGGAGGTTTATTTGTTTGCTTTTTCCAAACAATGTACTGTTGTGAAATATATTGCCTGTATGTAGTGCTCAAACTGATCTCTTTGTCTTGTTATGGTCATTTAGAATTTCATATATAATCCAATTCACATTGGATTTACTCAGAAGTGCCTGTCTCAGTTACCTCCTTATTAGGACTTGATTATAGTCACAGTGTGGTTGTAAGCACTGAAAAATTCTGATGTGGATTTTGATTAGATATACACTTTGATCACAAAATTTACTTTTTCCATTTTTCTTGAAAATGTCATTAGATGCTGAATCTCTGCTTCTTACATAGGTGCTTGTTCCACCATATTCCACATGCATGCAATTTCAAATGCAAATATTTTTGCATGTGAGCCTAATGATTATGTTCTGCAATTAAAATGCAACAAGTTTTCAATGTCAGCAGAAGGTGAGAATTCATTCTTAAGTATTTGCTTTTATATATATATATTGTAATTTGTTGTGTAACTTTCTGTTTAACCCTTGTATGGAGTCATATTTTAACTATTCTTGATGACAAATTGAAAGATTTCTCTAGTCACATTTTATATATGGTGCCTGGTTTCATTAACATAAAATCTCCAGGAATGCAGAACCAAAGTACTGCTTACTGACAAGAATGATGAGGAACCAAAGAAAAGAACTCTGTTTCACTATGCACATGTGGCTTCTCAACACTTATTCTCAAATTTGATTTGTCTTATAGTAGTAATAAAGTTGTCTCCCTTCCTTGCCTTGCCTTCTGGGTCAGGCTTCTGGAGAAAGTATTATGTAAGCTTGTGTCACAATCAGTGCTGTGAAAAGGCATGTGTACAGTAAGGTAATCTTTAAAATCAGAAGATGAATGTTTGCAATGATGTTCTGTCTACAGAAACTGTATGTCTGCACTTGCAATTTTAAAGTTTTTATACCATGGCTGATATGGTACTTTGGGTTTAAGTCATTTCAGTGTTTGAAAGTGATGGTTTAATTATGTGAACTAAATTAGATAAAGCAGACTGTGGAAGTGTGATGCTAATGGAGATAAACCAAGGATTCAGCAGCAGTGAACTGTTGGTTTGGTTCACTTGATCAATCAGTCTTACAGCACTAGTTCATCTAAACTCCAAGCTGTTGTCACCATTACTAGAGAAAACTTTGTCCAATGCATGTATGGTGCCAATTCTTTCAATTTCCAGTTGTATTTTCATTACTGAATTTAAATATCATAACTGATTAAAACCAAAAGAAGATACAAGAAATCCCTTTTTTAGTGTGATATTCTAGCTGTAAGAAGCCACCACTATTTTCTGCTTTCAAGTATGAGAAGAATAAATGCTCTTGCTTTAAGATACAAAATGGAGAAACAAAATGAAGGGTTAAAACAACTGATAAATTTTACACTTTTTTATATTATCTCATAAAGATATTTTAATGTCTTACAGTTGAGTTGTAAATTCAATCATCTTTGGACCATTTTGGTTGGTTTTTTTAGAAAGAAGTTACAAGTTTACATATACATTGTTCTGGTTATAGAAGATCATCATGTCAGAGTCTTGCAAAGAAGCTGACAATAACACAAAAATAACTAATATAATTGAGCTCATAGTCTCATTCTTTTATATACTTCCCAATCATAGTGGAATAAAAAACTACTATATTAATTTGTTAAATTTTAAAATTAGTATTAAATGAGAATAGGTAACAGCTTTGTATTTAAATATTTTACGTTCACTCACTTCTCAGGACTTCTAAGGAGAACTGCATGGCATATATGGCAACATACAAAATAAAGAGAGGAAAAGAGGTGTTGTAACTAAGTAATTTCCAGGTGTTGATTGTGACTGGTCAGAGTTGTTTAATTGTGTGCCCTTTGTAATCTTTAAAAAAAATAAAAATAAAAGAAATTGGGTAACTCAATGCCACCTGTTAGTGACTTTTCCATGATTTTTTTGGTGTGAATATTCTTTCCACATTTTCAAGATTGGTAATCTCAAGTGTTTATCATTATCGGACCATTGGCATGGTCCAGAAAATCAGAGCTGGCACAATGGACCTCAATAGAGTAGACAAAACTGTTTATGTTCAGTGATTTCCAGGAAGTTGAGAGCAAAGTCCAGGGAGATACTCTCTGTTTTGGAAAGTCAGAAGCTTGAGGTAAGTGTAGCTTCAGCTCTGATCAAGACAGATAGAATTCCAAGGCTCTGAGGGGTATGAGTGAACCATAAGTAGACAATGAGTTATTCATTCTCTCTGCAAACTGAAAAGATCAGAGGTATTACAGAAGCATTGCTCTGTTTATAGCCACTGGTGCCTGTAGTTTTATTTCATGACTTGACAGAGAGGGAAGGTAGGAGAATAGTGACAACAGCTGACCCTGGTGACAGCCTTCTTTCTATAGACCCTGGCAGCAAAGAGCAGCAATTGAGAGCATAATTTTAAGAGTCCAGGAAAGGCTGAGATGAGATATTCTGGTATGTCATCGTGGTAGGTTTTTCTTGTTTGTGGTTTTTTTTTGTGTGTTTTTTTTTGTTTTTCCTCCTCTGGAGAGAGATGTGGGTGTTAGATTTCCATTTTAATCTCCTTGTAATTTTAATCACCTCAGTAGCTGTACATTATCTATTTATTTGCCACTCTGTTAGCTTATTTCTCCCAGCATCACTACGTCCTATTTCCTCTTAAGTTGTTCCTTACATGATATATCGCTGATGTCAGAAACTGCTCTGTATAGTAAAAGGTCCTGGAAATGGCTGAATTTCTGGTAAAATCACTAAGGAGAACACTGTGAAGCGGTGACAGATGTGTAATCCAACAAGTGATAGTTTGCTCTCATAAGCAAATCTGTGCTTATTTGCTTTTATGTACATTTACACTGCTGTAGAACACAGAACAGGATTGTTTCAAGCTGTAATCTGTATAGTTATAAGCGAGCTCTACTGTAAGTTACAACTTGCTTATATCTGCACAGAATATTTTTTGGAGAAGGCTTCCAGCATTTTCATGATCATCTGAAACAAGCACTTTTATTCCCTTTTCAGCCTATGTGTAGTTCTTCCCATGAGCTGAGCAGCTCTCTCTAGAATAAACTGAGCAAATCACTTGACTTTTTTTCCTTCTCGTTATTGAAATCCATATTAGAAAGCCGAGCATGTGCAGATATTCCATTTACTTTATTGTTAAACAAAGCAAATTTATTGGCAAGACCTCTTCAGGTTATGGCCTTGAGTGGTGTCTCGCTCCAATTTACAGGAGGAGGAGGAGGTTCTTTTTAATATATGTATACTTGGCAAGAGATTAAACAATGGTTCAAATGTTGGTCTGACCAGTTTGTTACATCTTAATCAGGGAGATGAGGAAGGGGAGGACAGACGCTATTATGAATTAGGGTAATGGGGAAGGGAAGGAAGGTGATAGAAAGGGTGAGAAAGAAGAAGCAAGGAGTCTTTATAGGAAGCAAGAGGGGGATAGTCACCACCATGGATTCAGCATGGTTTGTAGTTCAGTCGTTGATCTTCAGTAGTGGTGGGTCATCAGGCATTGTTTTCCTATTGAGGATGATGGTGACCATGGCAATGATGGCGACTTTTCAATGGTAGTACCAGCTTAAAAGTGGTTGAGTCAGCTCTTCTTGGAGTGGCAGCTTCTGGCTTTGGGATCTCAGCGGAAACTCCTTTGTTACCATCTTCCAGGCCTTACCAGCAGATAAGAGGAAGCAGGGAGGAGCCCATTTGTATCTAGGCTTCACAGGGTACACTGGCATCACCCCTCAATCTTGCATAGCAAGCTGGAGTTATTCGGTCACAGGTTAGATCTTCCGCTGGTAAACAGCTAAAACTGTCCATACAGTGATGTTGCTTGCCCCACGGCAACACCCATCACTCACCTCCTAGTCATCTCCTAGAAAAGTCAGTCTTCTCACAAGAAATACCTCAGGAAGCAAGCTTTGAGCCAAAAGAAAAAAAAAAAAAGATTCTCACAAGTGGTTTACTAGTCAGCTGAGGTAGTATTGAGGCTATGAACCCAAAAATATGAATAACAAAACTCACAAGTTATGTGCTTATTTTAAACTTTACGATTTCTTTCAAGTGAGTAGTTTCATTACGTATGTATATTTCTGTGAGAAATAAATTGTAATATTTATATGAGAATTTTGAGTCCATCATTCAAAGCAATTTAAGAGGGAAGAAAAACAGTGTGAAATACATGCATGAAGTAATACAAGCCACAACATGGTTGTAGACATGCATTTGCAAATATAATTTCAAAAACTGCTACTTTTATGACCTTTGTGACAGATTGGGGATGGATTAATTCCCCCAAATCAGTTCTCTGATTATAGATGAAGGAAAATTGTCTTTTTTAATACTTCAGTTTGACTTGTGATATCATTCAGCATTGCATCTGGTTGTAAATAGTTATGTCATATTGTGTTAATTTATACTACAATACCATCCTGAGAAGGGTGATGTAATGATTTATGGCGTGTCATATCTTGAGTGCTCACCAAGGAAGTAGAGCATATACAGATCAATCCTTTCTGTAAACAGTTTGAATATATGGCATTTAAAATGAAAATATATTTCATGACAAGTAGAAAGCATAAGAATATCTGCTTTTATATTGGCCTATAGCAGTTGGAATTATCTTTGTGTTAGTTACTTCAAAACAGAATACTGGCAAACTTAGGTGAAAAAAAAGGGTTGTGAGATACATAAAACAAAAGATCCCTTCTGTAAAAAGAAATATTGGGAATCTATTTTCAGCAGAGCACGACAGGAGTCTTTATCTTATTAACATTTGAAGTACTAATGGAATCTAAATGTTCAAATTCATAAAATAAATACAGTCAGTGGTAGAATAGATGAAACTTTGAAAAATTGCACTTTAGTATATTTCTTCTTTTATAGTATTTGTGGTGTCAGTGTATACCAAAATTATTTACAGGTATACATTAAACATGACAGGAAAACCTGAAAGTTGAGTTCTTTGAGAACTTCATCTGTAAGAATAGCAGCCAGCAAACTTATCTGGGCACAGATCAGTTAATGACAGCCTATTTCTTAAATGCGTGAAAGAATATTTTTATAAGCAGATCATAGATTTATATGGTCAAAGACTCTTTTCTTCAATGTGCTTAACCATGCAAGGAACAAACAAGAGACTTGTAAGTAAAGACAATTGGGATTTGATGGATTTTCTTTTACTCTTTCCTTGGAAGACTTATCATTGTTCTTCAACCATTAAGCTTGTGTAAAGTGTTTGATGGTGTCCACCACCTCCATTAAGGGTTTTGAGGCCAGCAGGAGCAGTAACTAATATAGCTATCTGAAACTGTATTTATACAAAAAGGCTGTAAAACAGTAAATGTAGAATTGGCTGTTTACTTTAATGCTGTATCCTAGATGTTTGAAGGATGCTACTCAGAATGAATTGTTATTTCTGTCTTTTGGTACCAATTTTTCCAATTGTACTTCAGGTTTTTTGGAAGATATTCTGAAGATGATAATGGTTGAAAGCAATGAGGATGATGGATTTCACAGGTAATGTGTCATTATTCTAATTAATTTAGCTAAATCACAGTAATTTACAATGAACTTGTTATAAATATATTCAAGATAGCACTCCTAGAATTATACAGAGGAGAGTCTGACCAGAATTTTAATCTTTTCTAAGAAAACAAAATATCATTGATTAGAGAAAAACTTGCACATAATGGGCAATAATTTTTATGCCTCTGTAGGAGTAAAGTTGTAGTGCTACATTTTAGTACTTTGGTTTTTTTTTCTATTTTTCTGCCCTGGATTTTATAGATATGACATAATTAGAAGATTACACTTAATTCCATGTTCTATTTTTAAATGAAATGGTAAGCAGTTTATTTTACTGAAGGAAATGTTTGAAGGAATATTTTTAGAGCAGACTAGCTACTTTGAATATCATTTTAAATACCTCAAACTCTTTAATTTATTAAATATAAGTCACTAAGGTTGACTTCTCTTATCCCTGCAACTTCTAATCTTTGTCTATTATTGTTGGAAAATATTAAGCATATAAATATGCTGCACTATATTACTCTCTCACTCCCCATTCTCAAAAGAACAGAAGGAGAAAATATGATTTTTTAAAAAAGCTCATAGGTTGAGATAAGGATGAAAATCACTCAACAATTACCATAATGTACAAACCAGATTAAGCATAGGGAAATTTTTTTTTTTTTTAATTACAGATCATATACTAGAGCAGAGATTAAAAAAAAAAAAAAAAAAAAACATCTTCCCCATCCTCTCTCTCCTACTTGCTCCTCCCAAGTTGCATGGAATGGGAATGGGTGCTGCGGTCAGCCCATGATGTTTTGTCTCTGTCACCCCCCCCAGTGGTCACTTTGACCCTGCTCCACGTGGGTTTGTGTTATGTGATGCTGTCCTCCCTAAACTGATTCTGCATGGGCTTTCTGCAGATTAGAACTCTCCAAGCACTGCTCCAGCACAGCTCTGTACCACGGGGACAACCCTTCAGGGTGGTGCTGCTCAAGTAGCCATAGGCATCAGCTAACCGAGACCATGGAGATAGAGTATTTCACCATGGGACTCTCCTGGACTGCAGGGAGCTTCTGCTCTGTGTCTGGAGCACCTCCTGCCCTCCTTTTGCAGTGACCTTGCTGGTTGCAGGGCTATTTCACATTTCTTGCTCTTGAGCTGCTGTTGTGCAGCGTTTTTTTTCTCTTAATTAAACCTGCTCTCCAAAACTTGCAATCAGTGTTTCTCATGGTTCAGCTGAGCCAGGTTCCTGCTGGAGCAGCTAGATCTAGGTCTGCTCACAAAGATCGACTCTGCAGCCTTGCTATGTAAGCCCAATGCAATTGTTCATCTTGTTCAGCATCAGAATGAGGATATTAGAAATGAACTAGCTTCTCAATTTTATATAAGCCTTAGTTATCTTTTCTGCCTTTCTGAATCACTAGATTTTAAGCAGTGAATTTGGAAATTTTAATAAAATTATTACATACTGTCCTTTGTCAAATTTGTAACAAAATTCTGAACCAAATTATCCTTATGTAAATTAATGTTTCATTTTGAATATTCAACATATTTTCCATAACGGAGTTTGTAACCATCATTGTCTTCTGAGATTTCTAGTAAGCTACTGTCATTTGGGTAAATCTTTATAAGCCTTATATTCTACCCTACAAGTTGTTACATGATTTAGTATAATTTATTTTAAAAAGATCTAAAAAACTTGATTTTGTAATTCCATTAACATTGAGCTATAATTTTCCATCCTTTGTTTCAAAGGTTAACATTTTCTTTTTTCTGTACTGAAGTATATATATATATAAAAGAAGAGGATAAGAACTAACAGTCATCCATGAGTTTTAGACCTTTTTTAGTTTGTATTTTTTTCTCCTTTATAAACTGTAATTATATTTATGTTCTCCTTTTGGTGACTCAGAAGCCAGTATTCCATTTTGGTCACAACAATCTGAGGCAACCCTACAGGCTTGGGGAGGAGTGGCTGGGAAGCTACCTGATGGAAAGTGACCTTGGTGTACTGATGGACAGCTGAATATGAGCCAGCAGTGTGCCCGGGTGGCCAAGAAGGCCAATGGCATCCTGACTTGTATCAGGAATGGTATGGTGAGCAGGACTAGGGAAGTAATCCTGCCCCTGTACTCAGCATTGGCGAGGCCTCACCTTGAGTTCTGTGTTCAGTTTTGGGCACCTCAGTAAAGAAAAGACACTGAGATGCTGGAGCAGGTTCAAAGAATGGCAACAAGACTTGTGAAGGGCTTGGAGGACATGCCCTATGAGGAGTGACTGAAGGAACTGGTACTGCTTAGTCTGGGGATAAGGAGGCTGAGGGGAGGCCTTATTGCTCTCTTCCAATATCTGAAAGATGCTTACAATAAGAGTGGGGTTGGTCTCTTCCCACTGGTGACAGGTGACAGGATGAGGGGAAACGGCTGCAAGTTGCACCAGGGTAAGTTTAGGTTGGATATTAGGAAACTTCTTTACAAAAGGCTTGTTAAGTACTGGAATAGGCTCCCCAGGAAGGTGGTTGAGTCACCATCCCTGGATGTATTTAACAACTGTTTGTATGTGGTGCTCAAGGACATGATTTAGCAGAGGGTTGTTAGATAGCGTAGTATGGTTAGATTGTGTTTGGACTCCGTGATCTTGAGAGTCTTTTTCAACCTGAGTGATTCTATGCCTCTAAGATTAGGTGTGGAAAGCTGTTGTTTCACAGCTTGTAGTCAAATTGCTGTGCTGTATTTTTTAATTGTCCTCGACAGACCTTTTGGCAGCTCATCTCTTTGGATTTTCTTCAATTTGAAATTGCAAGGAAAAAAAAAAACACTATGTCAAATAAAAGCAATTACTACTTGTAGAGAAGTGAATAAAAGACTGAGAGGAAAGAGAAGGGAGAGTAACAGACAGGAAAAAAAAAAAATGATTTCAAGGTAGAAACATTTCACCACTCCTGGATCCAGTGTTGTCTTTAGTCTGAGTCTTGATCCATGGGTGATGGGTCAATGAGGGTAAATGTGAATGTTCACCATGACAGTCATTAAAGCTCCATTCTTTCATTCTCAGACACTCGTTAGGCTAGTTGGTTGACTCAACAAGTTTCTTGCAAGGCTTAGAGGATCTCCTAAGAACTTACGTCATCATCTAAGTGTTCAGAGTTGATTTGGAAAATGCAGGAAGCTATGGTTTTAGAAAAGAAGAATCTTGTGAAAATAAGATTCTTTCAGGAAGGTTGTCAACAAGACTGATGGAGAAGTGAAATGCCTAATCATACTTCAAAAACAACAGATCAACTTTAGTTCAGATCTGAAAACTAAGAAAGTTGACAGTGGGATGCTTAAGCTCATTGTTATAAGCAAGTGTAACAATCCAGAAGAAAGGAAAAGATATTCTTTATTTTTTGTATTAAATAAAACTTATTTAAGAGTGATGATATAATATATACCTTAAATGGGGAAGAGAGAATAGTATGTAAAGGCAAAGGGTCTGTAAGCTTGGTCACAAAGACCAACCAAAGTCCAATCAAATAGTTAAACTCATCAAAATGTTATCAAACTACTACAAATGATATGAATATTAAACCATATGCTATGTGGGTGAACTTCACAATTTAAATTGTATAGTTATGAGTGCATGTGTGACATTGGAAAACAAGGAACTTTGTTTTAAATTTACAGTATGACCATGGTGTGAGATAAGCATTAGTAACTCATTAATGCGAAGTAGTCAAGCTTAATGTGGAAGGTACTTCTTTGTAGTTTGCTTTGTTACAAAAGAAATATTTCGAAAAGAAGTGTCACAAAAAGGCCAAATACAGCTTTTATGTATCCTCTTTTATCAGTAAGTACTTCAATTTAAGAGCAGAACTTGACCCTGCAATTGACACTAAAATGTTTTGATTCTGTGCAGTTTGTTCGCTAATCTCTGAAAATACCTGATGTTCACAGAGTTATAATCCTTTCATTAAAGCTGATAGACTAATTTATCCCATTCAAAGACCAAATATATCAGAATATTGAGCTTCTTCACCTCAATTTCTGCAACAGTTTTATTACCTGGTTACTGTATTTTTATTTGAAGATGTTGTTAAAGCTTTTACAAAATGAATGCAATTTAATATCTGCTGTTTACAAGTTCAAAGTCTTTTCTATTCGAATATGTGGAATATTAGGCTTTCTCTTCAATTTAGAACACTCTTGAGCTTTGAAAGTCAAAGATTTCCAGTGTCATTTAGTAGAAGTTTGCACAGTATTTGAAATGGCAAAGCATAGAACATCTTAAATAATTTCTTGTTTTATCTTAAAATCAATAAATTACTGGGATTTTTTAATTTTTTTGTTTTGTTTTTAAGATTTGTTGTCCCAAGAACCATGTAGTCACAATCACCAGCAGTAATGCTGCTTTTTTTTTAAAAGACAGACAGGCTTACCCAGTTGTGTTTTGTATCTCTTTCAGAAAGATGTAACTAATTAAATTTGTGAATTATTTGTAATGAAATTAAGTAATTCCAAATATTTTCAAACTTTTTCATCTTTTTTTTAAATTTTAGGCATAGAAGTCCGAATCCATCTTCACTTTTATGTAATGTCAAATTATGTCAAATTAGGCAGTTGTCTAGCTCTGAATTCTTGCAACGTTGTTGCTGATGATAATATTTTTTATTGTGGGGAACAAATTCAAGAAGTGGAATAAATAGGTAAAGCCTTGAAGATGTTTAAGAATTGCTTGTAGGCTTCCAATATGATTTTAGACATTATTTTTAGATTTATAATGCAATTTGACTGAAAAACTAGCCAGCTTGCTTCCTGTGATGTATTAGCCTGAAACCTTTCTGGTTAAATCTTGAAGCCATATGGTCTCATTAGTATTTAAATAAGAGATTACCCAAGAAAACACAGATGCTACTGAGTGAGGACCTTACAACTTCCTCCTCTTCTGTTTTTTCTCAGATTAATCTTTCTTTTGATCAAAGGTTTCTGGAAGTACTTCAGTAATATTCCTATGGAGTTTCAAATAATTTGAGATTTAAACTCACAGTAGATTATTTTGTATCCTCAATATTATTCCTTTCTCTTCCTGAAATCTGACTGATTTTAATGGATTGATGTTGTTTTCTCAATTTTGTGAATTTCTTTGTTGTTTGCTAGACACCTTTAATCTATATTGATAATTGCTGTGTATATGTTGATAAGGGATTTTATTTCTCTGAGATAACGTTCTTAAGCAAAATATTTGTCTAAACATGGATCAAAGTAGGAAATAGTTAAAGAAACTTGAATGAAGTGTGTAGAAAATATTAAAATAATTACATTTTTTTTTTTTAAATCATATATATGTTTCACAGGCTATATTTCATAAAGGATTAATAATTTCCTGTTCATATTAAAAAAATAGACTGTCACAAACAAAATCCTAGATCCTCACAATTCTACATTCATTAGAATGGATGTTAATTTTTAGCACATTGTGATTAATAAATGAACCATATGAATGCAGACTACAAAATACTGTGGAGAGAGAGAGAGGGAGGTTCTGTGTATGAAATCAATATCCAGTGCTGTCTTATTCTATTGATATTTAGTGATAGAAGTTTGGTTTGAATATCTTTTGGCTTTAAATAGTTGAGACTTGGCTTCAGGTGTGAGTTGATGTAACACTGATACCCTAAAAGAAACTAAACACCTGTTCAGAGTAAACCTGCCAAGTCCCTTCACTTCTGTAGTTTTAAGATGTTAAGGCTTTGAAATGTAGCTGAACGTTCTGCTTCTTTAATGTCTACACAAGGAATCAAAAATTGATTTTTGTTTTCTTTCAAAGTATTTCATAGAATCTAGCTATTACAGGAAAATGACATGAACATTCAAAGTAGTACTACAAATACCAGGCTTATGTAAGGGTTTGATCTTTTGCATTTTATATACAAGGATAATAATTCAATCAAACATTAATTGTTACAACACATTGAAAGAAGCCTGAAAAAAGGGTTTTGAGACTCCAGTTTAAAGATTTCAGATTGTTGTATGCTGATAATATTAAATATCTTAATCCTGTCTAAAATAGAAATGTATTTTTATATGAGTTTGTAATTAGTGTAACTGAGACTGTTTCGTTTTCTCTTCCAATTTCTGATTAAAAAATACCTATTAAATGTGATCTCTAAAATTTGTACTGAATATTTGCACAATCTACATATAAATGAAATATCTCTGGACTTCTAAGGGAGCCATTTAAACTAGTCGGTGATTCATCTTCTGAGCAAGGTGAATCTTTTTCTTTCTAGGAGTCAAATCTTTAAATACTGTCTCACTTTTACTGCCTATATGGGGTTAGATTCTCTACAGTGAATGCACTAAATAGAAGTCAACTAAACTATAAATGTATTCTATCCTAATATTTA